ATAGTATTTAATTTGTAATAAGTGGATGTTATCTTTCTTAAAATACAGTTATTAATCACGTGCATTGAAATTACTTCTTAACAGAACTCTTTAACATACATGCAAAAATTATCATATGGATTATTCGGGGACAAAGTGATAAATAGATATTGAGGATAAAATAAATTAGAGTTTTATAGTTAGAATCAAATTAGATATCTAACTAGTTCTTATATTTAGCACCGGAGGTATTATTTTGTTATTATCTAGCAATGATTCACTAGAAATATAATTGTAAATAAAGTGAATTACCACCACCAATAATAAAAGCCTTGTACAATATAATTGTACTCTATTTAGGACCAAGTCTGCGAATAAGCCGTTAATGGAGATCTATCAATTACTAACTTCTTTAAGCGTTCTTTTTAGTCTCCCTTTACCTCTTTTTGTAGGGTTAAATAAAAAATATCTTACCCCTCCTTGGTGCTTCCACCGACATTTTTGGCGCATAACCAAACCATCTAAATAAAGCAAACCACAATGAAATATTTTTTTTTTATTGGCTGGTCATCAATATGACGTATATCTTAGCACAAGACATTACATTGTTCGAGTAATATAATATGAACATCAATTTTTGTGCAATAACGGTTGCTGATTTGGACTAAGCAAACACAATAATTTTCAGTTAAGATCAACGTGCGTAATAATTATAATTGCCTTGATGAGTGATATTGGACATATAAGACCAACCAGCTTCCATATCCACAAGATGTGCTAATTTTAGCAATAAACCTAGCTAGCTAAGTGAACACATGACTTCAAGTTTTCAACCAGAGACCAAATTTAAATCAATTACACTATATATCCTAGTTTGACTTATTACATATCCTCTTAGGATCATCATTGTAATATTAGAGGGTTGGCCATAACCCACCAATATGTGTTTTCCTATAAGCCATTGTTAATGCATGTGAAAGGGAGAAAGTAATATAAAAAATTAAAAAAATAATTTTTTTTCCTATTTAGCAGGAAGAGTATCAACCAATTGCTTATGCCATGTTCTTGCTTTTTCTCATGATCACATGTATAGGTTCTTTGAGTTAAATTTATTTATTATAAAATATATAAGAAGTTATATTTTTCATAAATCCATTAACAACAAATACATGGACCCCATGTTCAAATCCTCACTGGGAGAGATATACACATTTAGAGCCCGATAGTCTTGAACAAAATTATTTTTAATAAGAGGATACCTATGCCTACAAAAAAAATTTATATGGGGGCCATTTAGTTGGTTTAACTCTTAATCATAACCACCAAATTAATCATACTAATTAATTAGCTTCCCCAAACATGATAACATAGGGCTTAGTTGTTTTTGTTCTTTATTCCCTTGCTCCCAAAATAATTTATAAAATTATTTTTTGGAAAATTTTGGAAACAAAAAATTGTTTAGAAAATAATTTTTTAAAAATACATTTGGAGAAAAAAATAAAAAATCACACTTGATAGGTAATAGTTGTCATTGATAACGATAGGTGGTGGGTATAAAAAAAAGAAGATTTCTCCAATTTTTCAAAATAAAAAAAAAAAAAAAAAACAAGATAATATGGAAAAGCTGTTTTGATCTTTTATTTTTCAAAAACATGTTACTATTTTTTTGTTTTGCAAAACAATCAACTAAAAACAAGTTAACAAAAAATTGTTTTCAAAACAAGAAACCAAAAAACCCACCATATTATTTCTGATGTGTTATTATTGGACAATTCATTTTGGTTCCTTTTCGTAACGAATTTCCCTTGTTTTTAAATATTGTTGCCATGCCAAATGATAGTTCATTGTAGGATAACAGGGTTTTCTTTTCTTTTGTTATGTTTATTTTTCTGATACCTGAAAAATGAAGCAAATATTTTGATTTCAAGCAAAAAATAGTGTAATTAAGAGTGTTGGTGTTGGTAGAAAGGGTTATATATGCTTAAACATGATTTTTTGGGTTCAAGTCCATATAAATACAAAAAAATATCTTAAAAAAATTAAGCTAAACTATTTAGACCCCAACCAAACCTAAATCTATTTTTTGTTTTTTGTTTTGCTTAACATATATATCTTTCTTAGATAGCATATGTATCTTTCTAGTGGAGGCAGTCTTGTTCAATATAACTTTAAATATTGGATGGCTTCTTAAAAAAATAAAAAACCAAGAAAGTCATGTAACTAAACGATGATCTGTTTAGAGAAAGTGGTTTCTTTTATAAACTATATAAGGTTTCATGAAGCATTATCTATGATTCTGCAGCTTAAAAAATAAATTAATGGAAACAGCAAACTGAATTCCTCAAATCAAAAGACAGTATTTGGATTAAACAGTAGTTAACTGATGAGATCATACAAGTTTTTTTTTTAATTATTCTTGTGAATTGATATTAATTATTTGCATATATTAGGCTTGGCCGGACAGGCACATGATAATCAAGTACCTATTAGTGAACAACAAGGACAGAAAATAAAAGGTGGCTATGAAATATCATTATCCTGTCTCTGAACATAGATCCTTTTTATTTGTTCACTAAAGAAGAAAACAAACTCTGAACCCAGATCACTTACTGTGACACACTAAAGTTAATGGAAAAATTTCAAACCTTTTAAAGTGGACACAAACAGCAAACACGTTGGTCCAGATTCACTATCATTATCTTTCTTAATTTCTTCAACTTGCGTTACGGTAGTACTACTTCAATCTCCCATATATTTTCTTGGACCCCTTCAAGCATATCTGAGAGAAGATCCTTTTTCGCCATAACCATTATCATCCCCACAAGCACAATATGCAATATTTTTTGACTAACCAGAAGAAAAGAGAGAAGATAATTGAAGAAATGTTCAAATAAATTAAAGCTTTCCTATCAAAGTTCAAGTGGCCAGGATAATATGGAGTATGGGAAGCATCTAATGTTGCTTCGTGATGTGTTTTGCTCGAAGAAACAAGGTGGGGTCAAAGACACTAGAAGTAGGACATACAATATGAACACTCATAGTGGGTTTGGTCATCATTCTTCTTTATTCAGACAAAAACTCCACTCTTGCTAAGTCATGCACTCTTTCATTTCTTCTTCTTCTGTTCTTGACTTGGCACTATAAGGTGATGATAGATAGTGGAATTGTGCTCCCATTCATAGACTCTAAGCAAGTTAATATTCGTTCATAGAGGATTGCATTATTAAGAGTGAGAAGGAATTGAAACTGGGGTACCTTTCAAAGAAGGGCGCCTGTGTGTGTAGGATACTGGATCAAAATTAAAGTGGACCCACATCAGTCCTTTCGGTTGTCTTGATAAGCCTGGCGCTGAGCCTACATGTTAGTTTTCTTTTATTGGCTGTTAATTTTGTTTATATCAGAAACTGAGCAAATAATTATCAGCTCATCAAGTGTTTCAACTTTCAAGGTTTTAACAGCAGCGGTTCCCAATGCAGGTCTTTCTTATCACATTCTTGAATGGACTATGTATTTTGAGCTAATTTAAATAACTATTTCTGATGAAAAGATTGATTTGTTTATTTTTCATGAACTAAATATATTTGAACTTTTAAAAGAATCTTCCTGGTTACGCAATTCATTGATCTGGTGCATCTTAAAAATGCAGCTCCTACCTTTATGTGTTCAAGTTAGGCAGGTTGGCACCAAGAGACTGAACTTCAAACAGTGCATTTACAACCCATCTTTCCCTTAAAGTGGTAAGGGAAGTCAGAATCTACAAAAGAAATGAAGTGATTGAACTCCCTGAGAAAAATTACAACATCCTAGGACAATGCTGGGTATGAGTCACCATATCTAAGCCCTGTAAAGTGGAAACCACTATCTGAGAAAGCGAGATTCTGTGGTTTCCAAAGGGCAAGTTTCAACTTTCAACTATGTGTATCGTCCCTTAAAGGCAGCCTGATTAATTGAACCTTACTTGAATGCAGAAATGTTATATGCTTTAAGCAACAAGAGGCATCTTCTGGATTTTGAGGAAAAAGAGGGTGAAAAATCATATGAATTGTTGGAGACAAGAATGTATAATTCAGGGTCAGTCGGTCAGATTCTGATTTTGTGGGGAACAATAATATCTTTTACAAATTGAAATGAAAAGGCGAATATAATTATGAAAAATTGGAAATTACAAGCCACAAACATTACCTCACTCACCATGCTCATTGATTACTATATTTCTAGTAAAAAGCTTGCAAGAGCAGCTTTTACTTGTTATCTCACATCCGAGGCTTGTAGCTAGTGGAGACAAGGTGCTTGAACCTTGCCCTCTTCTGTCCTATTGATAATGAGCTGAATGAAGATGAAACAATAACACTTCAAAAATGAGTAGTGAAACTTCGAAATTAATGCAAATTAAAGCACACCACCAGTATCTCAACCGAAAGTATATCACAGAACAATGCAGAATCATTTCCAGCAAGTTGCTCGTTTGGTATATACCTTTGATCTACTTCGCGCCTGTAGTGCTGTTTGTACAGAAGACAACAGTCACATTACTATCGTTACAGCTTTACATTATTAATTGTCTTGTAACCGTTCTTTCTGAAAAATTTGATAGCAATCGGAGAAAATTTTACATTGATGGAAGACCTCAAAAGATAGCAAGGAATTTATTTAACTTAAATATGTCAGTCAATTGGTAAGATTACTAAGTTAACCATTGCAGATATTGACTGTTCAAAACTAGTTTTGCGGAAGGTCAGTTTAGGCCTTCTAACTGGCAGCCAAACACACAAGAAATCATCATTTGAATCTTGGCTTTTTGCCCATGCAAATTATCGTTTAATTTTCAGGATAATTGCAATAAGGTTCCAAGGAAAATATATTAACAAAAAAAATCTTGTAACAATTAAGCGACTCACAATAACAAGTTTTAAAATGAAAAATTGCTCTCTTGTCATTAAGACTTTTTAATAATTATCTTCCTTCTTGGGACCCACAGTAACTCCCTTTATTTTCCTCTACCGGAGAAAAGCACAAAAAAGTGGGGAAAACAACATCACCACCATTCATCTACTACATCAGCAATAAGAAGCAGAACACCCAACAAAAACTTGTTCCTTTCCCTATACGCTTAAACGTGTTCTCGTCTTTATATTATATACATACATTTGCTTTGTATACTAAAACTTCAAACCAGTCATTAAACATGCTAGGTTGAGTTGACTTTCAAACGGAGAGTGTACATCAAAGTTCTTTTTGAGTTAACCAGTGTTCCTCATCCCAGCAGCAATCCCGTTTATGGTGATAAGCAAAGCATCTCTCATTTTATGGTTGTCATCATCACGTCTAAGCCTCTTCAGTATCTCCACCTGCAACATGTTCATGGGATTTAGAAAGGGAAGTCTATTCTCAATTAGCCTCCTTAGGCTCCTATTGTTCTCCTGAAGTTTCTCATGTCCACTAACAACCAGTACAAACTTCTCTGTTGTTTTGAGCTCCTCCCTTAATTCACGGCCAAGTTCTTGCCTCTTTTCTGACACAAGGACTTCATCATAGTGCTTGGCTATAGGAATGTCTGCTTTCCCCAGAACCATCTCTATAAGGTCTAATGTACATTGAAAGAAAGGCCACTCTTTGTACATGGCTTTTAGCTCTTCAGTATATCCTCCCTCACAAGCACCTTTTAAACCTGCCCCAACTCCAAGCCATGCTGGAAGAACAAATCTGGTTTGAGTCCATGCAAACACCCATGGTATGGCACGAAGATGTCCAATTCCTTTTGTGCTCTTTCTTCTTGTGGGGCGACTTCCAATGTTAAGGAAGCCAAGCTCTGCTTCAGGTGTGGCTTCGTGGAAGTAGGCAAGGAATTCTGGATTCCCATATACTACATTTCGGTAATATTGGCAGCTAACTTTTGAGATATCTTCCAAGAGATTACGCCATTTTTCTTCTCGGGGAGGGAGAGGTGGACGAAGGGTTGCAAGTAGTACAGCTGTTGTGTATATCTCAAGCTGTCTCACAGCTATCTGTGGCAATCCAAACTTATTCTGTACCATCTCTCCCTGCTCAGTAGAACGAAGGGTTCCCTGCGATGTGTCAAGTAAAACACAAGATTATTCTAAATTTTAGAGCACTGCTGGTAATTAGTACAGTTTACTAAAAACCAAATTAGTGGCTTTCAAACGTTCCATGCAGCTCGATAGGACCTCTTAGAGGCAGAAATGATCCTTGGAATAGGAGTAGGACCATAATTTAAATTCCAATCACAGTTGAACAAACTCCTTTTCAAAGTAACCTTGTCAATTATTATTTACTACGGATATTTTATGATAAGTGGCCTAAAAAATGACGGTTTCGGTCAGTTTCAAGTAAAGAAGAAATTCCATCTTAGAATCTCATCGTTCAGAACAATCAAGTTAAATTTCCAGCGATGTGAACTAAATAAAACAAGCAAACATGTCAAGTTTCAAAATTAACCTTTACTCAACAAATGACTATAGTAAATCTGCATCAATAAGGTTCCAACCACTGAACATATCTATGCGGACTATATCAATGTATCAAAAACTGTCGCCATATAGTCTCAGTTTAACCCAGCTGAAAATAATAAGAACATCTCTGACTTGCATTCAAATTTGGAACAAAAATGAGGCTCAAATTTAGAGTTCTGAGGTCTAAATGTATAACTCACCATCACAGAGCCAGGTGGCTGGGACTGAATAGCCATATATGTGGGGCCTCCACCACGACCAATACTCCCTCCACGGCCATGGAACAGAGTAACTTTAATGCCATACTCATTGCAAGCAGCTACGACATCTTCCTGAGCTTTGTAAAGTTCCCAAGCAGCAGTGAATCGCCCAGCATCTTTACCAGAATCAGAATACCCAACCATGACCTTCAAGTAGAAATATATAGTACAATGGTGTGAACTCTTCATCACATAGTCATACCACAAATTTATGAAATGACCCGCAAATATAAAATTACCTCTTGATGGCCATTATGATTCTTGATAATGTGTTCACGATACCAATCAATTGATAAAAGTTTTCGAATAATTGAACCAGCTCCTCTCAGATCCTTCACAGTTTCAAATAGAGGAACAACCCGCAGTCTAGAAGAGACACACAAGACACGCATGTCAAAAAAGATCAAAACATTGTAACCGCATTGCAATTTGTGTAAAATGAACATTTTCATTGTAACCCGCATGTCAGCATACTAGTTACAGAGCAGTTTCAAATTTTCTTTCATAGAATCTTTAACTTTTTGCCAACTAATGAACAACAAAAAATGGAGCTACATTCTGTTCAAAAAGATCAGACAAGTACCACCGTTTCATCACTGCCCACTCGCTTCACTAACACTTAAGACAGAAAAATACCCCAACCTTCTTGAACATGACAAGCACACAAACATAAACCAACATTTACATCCACTACACACACACACACACAGCTATCAGTTGATATTTATTAACCCATTTATTTCAACTCTTCAGTAAACAGGAAAAAAAAAAATCCTCAAGCATACTCGTGACCAGATCAACAGAAAGATAAGTTTTAGCTATATGATAGGAATGCGTAGGTTCCATACTTACGTTCCACCAGGACATGCTTTTCCCAACTCCCCACTAACAGTAAGCCGTGCATCTTTCTGTAAAAGCTCTACTGCAAGAACGTCACTCGCCTAACAATAAAGTGATGTTCAAAAATCAAAGTGTCAATCCATATTACCAACTTACAATTTTTGAAAGCAGAATGTTTATGCTTTCTGGAAAATTTTCATTTGCATGTTTTAATCCATTATATCTATCTCCATAAGCTTGAGATGAAAATGCAACAAATGATTTTGTAATAAAAATTCTCAAAACAGAAGGACAGGACATCAAGAATCACTTTTCTAACAAAAGCAAACACTAACAAAAAGAAAAAAGTAGGCACCGACAATTGTCAAAGAACTTATCTAATGTCAAAGTGCCGGGGGATATTAGCATCTAGAATTGAAACTGCACAATTTTAAGACTAACAGCAATTAGTCATACATTTGAAGCCATTGAAATCACATAGGCTCCAAGTGAATCACTCCCTAGCTCGGCTGCAATTCTGAAGGTATCCAAGACTTCTCTAACATCAGGAGGAACCTAAAAAGAACAAATGATGATTGTGATCATTATAAAACCAAGATGTGGCAGATAAATAAATAAACCATGTTAAGAACTGTTAATCAAATTTAAAAAGAAAAATAACAAATTGAACAGGGTCAAAATGGTTTAAAATTATAAAGGTAATGTGGAATGCCATCTCACTTCTATACTGGGAGGAACAAGTGGCCTCTTCCCTTTCAGTTCTCGAGTTAAGAAGTCCAGTTTCTTTTCTTCATCCCATTCACTATAAGTTCCCATATCCAAATATTTGGTAATTGCATCAAGTGTCTCAGCATGTCTACCGGATTCCTGTCATATTCCTCGTTTAAGTCCACAACTGATCATCCAAGAATTAATAAGCAACCAATATAAATCAGACCTGACGCAGGTCAAGCTTCATCAACATCATTCCAAAGGTAGCAACTCTTCGGATCAGGTCAGCAAGTCGACCATCAGCTAACACCCCAGATCCACATGATTGCTACACAAATTAAAAGTTTAACACTGACTACAGACAACCTTCCAGTAAAGGGGGGAAAAAAGAAGGGGGGGAGAGAGCACCAGAGATTCATAACAGAGGAGCAAAGGTTCCAAAAGTTGGTCGGTTGTTTCATAATAACTTGAAGGATCATAATCACATGGATTATCCTCAAGAAGAAGCTCCAACCGTCTACGACTTTTTAGAAGCTGAACACGAGGAACAGAATTCAGATGCATTTACAATCTTACAAAAGAGTGATCAATCTGAACTACCAATGAAAATTAAAACTCAGAAAGTCTGGGTTTCATTATTTCATAATATTCAGAAATGAATTAACATCAGAGGCCCATCTATGACAAGTTCTGCTAATCAAGATTACTTTGCCACATCATAAAGCATGAGTGCCAGTATTTACTCCATGAATCCATGTTACACTACAGGCAAATATATTTGCCGCACTATAGAGTTATCAAAACAGATGGATTTATCGATATATTCTTTTTCATTTTGAAAAGAAATAAGCATTTGCGAGCCCTAATAATGCGTACGTATAAACTTTTGTACAACAAAAAGCCACTGTTCTGAACCCTGTTACTCAACAATTAAATATATATCAACTCGATCAAATTATGGCTGCAGAAAATGACATCAAAAAATATCAGTTATAAAAATTCTCATTAAAACATACATTCCCAAATGCTTCTTCCCAAGTCATTTTGATGCCCTCCCTTCCAATCCTCAAAGTAAAAAAATAAGCTAACACATGAACAGATAAATATAAGAGGCAAGACAGCATATTATTCATTTATTTCACCACTATTTCACACTAATCCACTTTCTAAACAGTATTGTTCAGACTGACTTTACCTTTCAATTTCCAGCACCTCCTTGACCCAACACAACCATAAATTTTAAGGTAATTCACTTATTTCATTTTCAAATCAGTGTCTAATGTGATTCATTTGAAGTTATCGTAGATATTCTGGAAATGCAATGAATATATCAAGCATATACCAGGTCCAAGAAACCAGCAGCACATCATTTATCTTGAACAAATACCAAACAGTGAATATCAGCTTCAATAGTCAAATCTGAAGTGCTTGCTGATGAAGTAAAACAGAACAATTACCTTATCTTTTACATTCCCGAGGACAACCCTGTAAGGGGCAATTCCAGGAAGCTGAGGCAGCTTCGGCTCCAAAAGCTTCTGAAAACTGGACCTTCCTGTTTGGGAATCAGCATAAAATTTCCTTGGGGTGTGTGGTTGACTAGAGCGTAGATTTGTAGACACTTGAGAAGCGCTCAAATTTTCTGAACTTGCTGCTGATGCATGACTGTTATGATTGTCACTCTTGAATGTTGCACTAGAAGAAATATCACCATCCTACGATGAAAAATATATAGGTCATCTGGGATTACTATGGTCAATTATTTGTATTTCTACACTGATAATGCAACTGTAAAAACAGACCCCACAATTCTACCTCATGATTCAGCGGCATGTAATCTTTTCCTGGAATATCCAGTCTAGGATACTGAGATTCACCATTTTCTGCATGAAAAGATAAACAACACTGAATCATTAATCTTAGATATACCAAAATTGATCGACCTTGGGGATTAGAACAGGGGCTGGCGGAGCATATAAGTTAGTTATATCCCATATATTGGCATGAATTAATTAGTCTAATTCCTATTCCATGAAGGGGGAAAACTAGATGACGCATTTTTGGGTATAATTATGTGTACCAGCACAAGAGGGTAAATGAGCTTTAGCTGGAAGTTGTGTTGGAAGTGGAGCTTGTTGACCATAATGTTTGGGTTGACTTCTATTCATAGATTGATTCCAATTCTCGTGGCTATCCTCAGAGAGAGCTTCTGGAGAGGTAGAAGTGAGATCAACCATTAGAATTAGAAGTAGATTAAAAGTATCAGACATGTCTTTAAGAATATAACAATGGCAAGCCACGATCTAGGTGAACATTTCATAAAGGTGTAAGCAGCTGATTAGGACATGTAAGGTGCTTAAACAAAACTATATTCAGAAGATGATGCATATGCTTCCCAATGCATTACCAAACATCGTAGCAAAGTTACAGTTCATAACACACTGACATATTGTGCACATCCTGGCAATTGTTAATGAAATCAATATTGGATCACTAAGATGGACCCAAGATTTGAGACAGTGAATTGGACTTGAAGATTAAAAGACTGACTATTACCAGTCGGGCACGAATTACTTCTATTACCAAAACAAGAAAGTAAATATATAGCAGAATATCATTCATTAAATTATCAGATATTAAGAATTGGGCAAATTTGATAACAGAACTTTTCTGACCTTTTGTCTGTGTGCCTCTGTCCTATTTTCATTCCTAAAGTCCATAAATTAGTTGTTATAAAGAACATGCAATGACGTTAACTATAAATATTTAGGCTCTGAGGAGGAGATCAATAAATGTCTCTGTTCATATGATAATCTAATAAATCAGATTATCAAGGTCCATCTGCAATAATTCTATGAAATCAAATCTTCTTGAGCACAAACATTCATTGGCCACATATAAGAAATCAAAGATGAAGCTGTGTCCCAATGCCATCAGCATTGAAAAGAATATCACCATATATAAAATTTAATAGACAAACCTTCTTCCAGAATTGTATGCGCCAGCCTTGACAAATCATCACTGCACCGATTCATAGACAGCTCAAATCTAAGGTTATCAACTTCACGAAAATAGAGGTCAATCACCATCCATTTTGATAAAAGTGCAACATCTTTTGTGACCTGAAGGAAAGTGAATAGCCAATTTAAACCATTGCATTAGGAAAATTTACATCATTCAGAAAGATTCACACTCTGCTATGAAGAAAATTATGATGTGTCAATTACAGAGTTCAGAAAATTAGTCAAAGAAGTAAATTAGCCCACCATTCTGAGCAACCAATCCATGAGTGGAAAGATAGTAATTTACATGGTTAGCAGTTTAATTAGACATCAAACTTTTTTTCCTGGATGACAAATGCAATGGAATGTTCTAACTAATCAGTTGTAAAATTGTTCTTACAAAGTCAACTCTGCTCACACTACTAGGAAAACATCTCAACCCATGGAAAAACACTCTATAGCTGCTGGGAGACAAAAACAGGTAAGACGTACAGTAAAGACTAAAGAGCTGAAAGGACATTAAAATTAAAATTACAATTAAAAAAACACCTTTGCTGTCACGTTTGGGTTTCCATCTCTATCACCCCCCATCCAAGATCCAAACTTTATAGGAGTACAAGTTAATGGAAGTGATTTTCCTGTATGCTGCAGTACACAACAGATTTATTGAAAATCTTAAAGAGGGAAGAAAAAGTTTGGGGGCGGGGGGGATTAAATAAAGTACTTGTGCAAGTAATCTACAAGATGAATGACACAAAATGAATAGACCTTCTTTAAAGCATTGCTGACTCGACGTAAATAATGAGGGACTGCTTTCCACAGTGACTGCTCCACGATATTCAAACCTGCGGAAATTGAAAATATATGATAAACTATTATTTTTCTTACAATAAACCTAAGCACAAAAGCTGACATAGTTATCATGCAGTTTACCAGCCCTAGCCTCATCAGCCGGTGTGGGTTTTTCGCGCCTAAGCTCATCTGTCTGCCATATTGAAGTTATCTCTCTCACCTACCAAAGCCATAATGATTTATAAGAATAAAAAAAAGCTAGAAATAGGATTTATACTATTCGTTTCACCTTTAGAAAGATGATCTTCTACCCTCACACACCACTGTGACTTTCTATAGAGTGAAAATACTGTCCAAGAACCTTACCAGATCTTCAATCACCATTTCTCGATCTTCAAAACTAAGATCAGGTCGATCATTAAGATCCAAAAGATGCTGCATGGAAAGAAAAGAATTAGGATGCAAACCAAAAATTTTATATGATATATGAGATTTAAAGTTCAAGCCTCAGCAATTTTATTAAGGCCAGACTAAGACCAAAACTCACAGAAATTCTGATGTGTTTGTATTGTAAAGTACGGCGATTGATTTGTGTGGGATGGGCTGTAAGAACAATTTCAACCTCCTGCAGAAATCAAAAAAAGATGGAGGAGAAAAACTTTGAAAAATACAATAAACTGAACAGAGTGAATCACCATCCTTTAACAACATTAAGTTGGCAAGAAAATAACTGCCTGCCAAGCAAATACTTAAGGCGTCTGATCAGACCTGCTTGCAGACTGTGTTATAAAGCTCGTCTGGGGAAACTCCACTCTGCAGCAGCTGGTTAAATGTGTCATCACAAGATTTTGATAAATATGCCACATCCCGTCCTTTACGAACCCTGCACAAACAAAATTTCCTACCTTGTCAAAATTGATTGGGGCAGTATTTTCAGTATGGAAAATCATGTTACTCGTCTTCATGTTCACAACTAAAAATGATTTTATTATAGTTTCAAAGCGAAAGAGACAGAAGAATCATAAAGAGAGTCCAAGAAAAGAGCATCATATCGTAACCCAATTACCTGTGATGGGTTTCAGCTATGCCTGTCAAAGTAAGATGATGACTGAAGGCACGAGCAAGAGTCAGAGCTTCTTCTAATGTCATCTCCGATAGCTCTGAAGCCAACTGCTTCTCGACCAGCTCGGCCATGTCCTCAATCCCTGCCTGCCTCATATTACAAGCACTCTGGACAAATAAAGTTCACATTATTGCTAGTTGCAACTCGCTAGCAAGAAGTATAGAGAAACCAACGATAATTTCACATCAATAAAATGACTATATATTATATAAAGATTTCGCGATTTAGGACTCCAGAACTACACAGAGTCAACTTCGGTCCTTATGGATTGTTACTTTAGGCATCAGTTGAGCTTTTCATTATACACCAACTTCCATGCAACAACATGAAACAATAAATGCATTTCCTACTCAAACTTCCTTTTTCTTAGCCCACTTTCTCAGCAACCAAAAGAAGGCGCCATATATATGAAGTCAAAGAAAACCCAGCAGAACAAAAGGACGATATTACAAAACAAATGCTAAAATCATACAGCTAATAGACTAGATAGGAGGCCAAGCAAGTAGAAAAAGGGGCAGAGGAAAACCTGAGCAAGAACTCGGATTTTCTCCAGTTTCTCCATGAACGTAGTTCCAACTTCTCGCTGCAAGACGTCGTTGAGCATATTGCCGAGCAATCTACAGTCATCATCAAAGCTCTGAAACGAGATTTCCTCCGCGATATCGTCCGTGTTATCGGCCATTTCCACTCAGCCCACCAAAGCACCAATCCAAGACTGAACCCCCACGAAAAAAGGAAAAGTAAAAAACAAAGAGGTGAGTCAGTGAGTGGACTGGACTCACTGGAGACTACAAACACAGCGAGGGGAAAAACCGTGGGGCCAATATTTGCCGCAAAAAGCTGCCAAGAAACAAACAACAAGTGGCAGCAGGAGAGAGAAAGAAGGAACCTTTGGGCCAAGCTGCGTGTGAGACTAACAGGAAGAAGAAGACGAGAACATTGACGCACAAAAACTACAACTTCACACTTCACAGCCACCCCCAACAATATATAAATATATATGTGTGTGTGTGTGTGTTATAATATGACTTTACTCTGCTTCGCTGCCACCCCAAGATACAAGTTTCGATGCTACTTCATGACGTCTTCTTTTCACTTCTACATGCCAACAGTTTTTCTTCTTTGCTACCTGCCTACATATTCTATCACTGTCACAGGTAAGATTGTATATTTAAATTTTTGTTTGGGAAACAAATATATGTAAACAATATAATTTACTAAGTGCGTATCTAATCTGTGACCTCTGGTGCAAGCACTGAGGCACGCATGGCATTAAACCACTAGCATATTAGGTACTCCTTTGGCTCCATTCTACAGACTAGAATATTGATTGCCTTGTTTATCAAGAGTCAATTTTAATGCAAATAATTAAAAAAATTAAGAAACCAATACATTTTTTTTATAAATAATTAGTTTAACTAGGTTTTTTAATATTTGCATATATATACACACACATATATTCATCGGAATACAGTTGATAGGAGTGTTAAAATGAAATAAAGTGATTGGCCTTTTGGGTGAAAATCACAAGTTATTAGTGAATTTTGTATTGGGTTTGGTGAGCTTTTCCCAAAAGAGATTTTTAATTTATGGTAATCACTACTCATGAATCATGACCAATAACATATAAAGAACCAATTGTGATGAACTCACGGATCAAAAAGCAGTACTACCCTCATAAACGCCCTTGTGAAGCTCATCTATCACATATGGTGTTCAAAACTTGGTTTCATTCACTCCCCCAGTCCAATACATGAGCAATAACTAACAAAACACCTAGATAAATAGGGGTTAAAATTAGTTGAAATAATAAATATAAAAAAATATAGCTTTGTTTATGAAAATGTGAGCGAAAGAAGATGGGTAGGAAAAAAAGATAAGAGAGTATGAGTGAAAAAAAAAAAAAGGAAGGCATGTAATTATTAGGAGTAAGAAATTAAAAAAAATTCATTAAATTTTTACAACAATACAGAATGCTACTTATATTGGATTGGAGGGGGCATTATTTATTGGGAAATCACACGTAGACTTGAAAGGAAAAAAAAAAGTGAAGTAATGAGAGGTTGTAATAAAGTTTTGGGGGGAATAACTTACAAATTTAAATTTAAATAATTACAGATTAGATAATTTTAATTATAAATAAAATATTTTAATTTTCAAAATCGATACCTTTTTGAAAAAAAATCAGGACCTAATTATTATTAATTTTTTTAAGTTAAATGTAATTTTCCTTATCTATTTGTCGCCTCTGTATTTTATGTTCATGGCGGCCAATATCATAATCACTTTAGGATTACAATATCTAGCACGTCACTTTAAATCTTTGTTTTTATTAAGCTCAACGTCGCTTTGTCGAATATGAGATATTGTGAAATCATACAAAATTCCCAATATTGATTCTGATTATGTTAAAGACAAAATTATAATAATATATGGTTTGAATTTATGGGGGATAAATCCAATTTAATGTTTAATTAACATAACTACATAAGTTTATAAATTAATTTTGTCCAACCTCCCTAGTCTGATAGAAGTGAAACAGATTGTATTAAATTACACTGCAAAGTAGGTCTTATATTTAGGACCAGAGGAGTATATTGTTTTACTTATTAACACATAGTATATTAACAAATAAAAAATATTTTATTATGTATTTCTAGATGAAAAATGGAATGGGTTGAAATAGAGATTTGCAGTTCTAATTTTACTCAAGTTTAGTCCTTTAATTTTAATGCTGTTAATCTTGTTTAATGGAAAATGCTTACTCATAAAATTCACATGTTGACTCTACAATTAAATAATAATAATAAAGTATGCTTAAATTTTAAGATATAAAAATAATTATATTGGAAAATTAAATTTTAGGCTATGTTTTGTGGTGATGGTGGTAGAGTTACTATGTAAATTTGCTAAATCAACATTTTTTGCTAAATGAGACTTTTTTTTGTCTGAGATAAATGACATTAAGATTAAAAAATTAAAAATTATACTTTATACAATTTAGTGGACTAAACTTAAACTTAACGTAAACCTAGAAAATCGAAAATATACTTTAGCCAAAATATTATTATAACACATCATCAAATTAATCCAAATGCTTCAACACCTATGTTTTCTAAATAATATTTTAAGCTTTCTAAATAAGATAAATTGTTGTTGAGAGGGCACATTTAAGATTATTTGACTCCAATGTAATTTCAAGAATTAGAACACACAAATCATGGTATTTGGCCCCCAGTATGCCCCAAGTTGAAACCCAAAGGCCAAATCAAATAGCTCCAAATTAACATATTGCCAAAATAAAAATGAAACTAGGTTCAGCATTTATAATTTTTTTATTATTTATTATATACAAATCCAAATGGTTACCTTTTTTTTTTTTAATTTTCTAATGCTTTTCAGCTATCAAAGAAAAGAGAGAGAGACTGGTGGGGATGAGTGGGAACTTTAAAATACCATCTACATTTTAATAATATTTTGCAAAATTTACGTTTTTTCCCAATCTCAAGTTGATTGAAAACTATTGATATCCTTGTGATCCTCGAAAGGACAATTATATTAAAAATAATTAAAGAGGGGAAAAAGAAAAGTTTGCAAATAAAAAAAAACGTAAATGAAATGAAAATTGAAGAAAGCGATGGAAAGCAAAGCAACACTGGAATTTTATTTTATTTGAAAGGAGAAGAGAGAAAAAATAATAGTAAAATTCACTTGTTTATATCCATCTAAAACTTAGATTCTTTCTTCCTATTTTTGAAAGTATCAATAGCTCTCAAATACATTAACAAATCTCACATATTTTTTATTATTAAAATTTTTAAAATATTTTTCATGAAATGATTTAATTAATTTAAAGTAAAGAAAATAAATCAAAATAATTTGGCAACTATAAAAATTACATCCCTCGCCATATCTTTCAAATTTTGGAGAGGACAGTCCTCCTTTTTTTAGTTGCTATCCAATTCAATCCCATCTTATTTTTTTCAGGAAAAAATAGAAGTATATTTAATTTTTATAAGAACTATTTAAAGGCAACAACTTTTTAAGAAAATAGTTCTACCTAAATTGCACATAAAATTTTTCTATGATTATAGCAGGCCAAAAGTATTTTTTTTATAATTTATTAAAATTCCATTGAATTGTGAATCAATGAATCCACAAATATAATGGTGGTTGCTATTATGTTTTTATATGACAACAAAAATTCAATTAAATTATCAATATATAGTTGCGTTGAGCATCCCTCTCTTCCCCCCCCCCCCCAAAAAAAAAAAAACCTCTAGAATAAAATCACTTGAAAAGGTTGACTCAGGAAGACCCTGCCATTGGAAGGATGAAAAGTGCGATGATGATGAATCATGGTGGTTACTATTAAGACTGTTTTTATATGACCAATAATAATCACAAAGTCACGGATGGAGGATAAGGATGAGCATCCTGTAATGATATATTATTGGAATATGCAATATAGCTTCCAAGATGAAGATGAGACCACGTAATGCTTGACATTGACTTTCAATTTCCAAAGTTTGCAAGTTTCCCCAAAGAAAAAAAAATGAACGTCAATGCAGTCAAAACAAAATATGGGGGAAATTTATGCATTTGGCTAGCAATTATAAAATATTTTCATTTACTCCAGTTAGAAAGTAGCAAATCCTGGGGTGCTACCAACTAATACAATAACTCTAAAGTTAGTGTTTATTTCCTGGGAAAGGGTTAAAAATCTATATATATTTATTAATTCCTGAAATTTATCTCATCAATTGAAAGGAAAAATACACACAAAAATTTGGGGATAAAAGGAAGCATAACAGCTTTCATGAAATCTACTAATTCCCCCACTATTCTTGCCTGGCTGCTTTTTTCCCCAAGGCAAGGTCTTTCCGTTTGTGTCTTGAATAAGGCCTATGTGAAGTTTGGTGCTACAAAATCTGGTATCAATGAAGAAAAGAATAACGTTAGGGAAACTCTTCTTCCTGAAAGGGCCTACTGATTAAAAAACATCACTGACTTTCACAAAGGAATCTTTTTTGGTAAGAGGACATTGTCTTCCATCTGGTTACCCAAGTGCCCCAAAACTGAGTATATGGTTTCCTTCAGCGGGTGTGACGCATCAGATACAGTAAAAGCATGGACCTTATTGTCAATTTCAATCCAACTAATGGCCAGTTCCTTTTTCACTTGTCTCTCATCCATAAGCTGTCTTACTTTCTCTACCAATTCCCATTTTCCAAGTGCAGCATATGCACTTGAAAGCATAACATAGGCGCCAGAAGATTTAGGCTCCAATTCAATAAGGTGTTCCGCTGCTTCTCTTCCTATGTCTATATTTCCATGAATTCTACATACACCAAGCAACGCATTCAAAACATGGTCACCTGGTTTACAATCCATCATCTGAAGATACTTCATCAATTCGTTGAAACGTCCAGCCCGCCCCAAAAGATCGATAAGACATGCGTAGTGTTCTTCATCTAGAGCTACCCTGTGATCACGATTCATGGAATTGAACAATTCAATTCCTTCTTGCACAAGACCTGAATGACTACATGCATTTAGAATGACAACAAAAGTGATCCTATTTGGCTTCACACCCGATCTTAGTAGTTCTTTTAGCAGCAAAATGGCTTCTATGCCATGACCATGGTGAGCTAGTGCAGCAATCATGGTGTTCCAAATCACCACATCTTGCTTATCTCCCATGACATGGAATATTTTTTTGGCATTTTCCATGCTGCCACATTTTGAATACATGTCAATAATAGCACTAACAAGAATATTATTAATTCTGATGTTATTTCGAATAAGATGAGCATGTATTTGCTTCCCCTGTTTGAATGAAGCAGTGATTGAACAAGCAGATAGACAGCTACTGTATGTAAATTGATCTGGTTTAACATGATGCGTGATCATCTTTCTAAATACTTCAAGTGCTTCATGACCCAAACCCAATTTGGCATAACCACCAATCAAAGATGTCCATGAAATAGAATTCTTTTCCGGCATCTGATTGAAAAGTTCAACAGCTGAATTCATATTTCCCCAATTGGCATAACCTGAAACTAATGTAGTCCACACAAAAACGTCCTTGAAGGGCATTTCATCAAATAACCTCCTAGCATCTTCCACTTTACCACACTTCACATATGCATCAAGAAGTGAACTTGATATAACCACATTGGGTGAAAATCCAGCAACTAAAACCTGCCCGTGGATCTGCCTAGAAAGTTCAAATTCTTTCAATTTCACGCAGGCAGTCAAGACACCTGCAAAACTAAATTCATTATAGCCTATAGACAATCTTCTCAGCTGTCTATAAAAATCCAAAGCCTCATCAAAGATCCCATTCTGTGCATACCCAATGACCATCGTATTCCAAGATATGTAATCCCTCTCAGGCATTTTATCGAACCATCTTCTCGCTTGACTTATCATCCCTAATTTAACATATCCAGAAAGCATATTATTCCAAGAGTACAGATTTCTCACCTCCATTTTATCAAACACCTTGCGTGCTTCTATGTGATGGCCACACCTGAAGTACATACATATTAAGTGATTAGCTAAAAATGTTGTGGGACGCTTCAGACCAGTCAGCTTCAGATGAAGATGAACTAATTTGCCATCTCTTAAAGACTTAGTCTCTGCACATTGTTGTAAGAGACGACCGAGAATGCGGGAGGGTAAGCGAATGCCTTTGATAACTAAGATGTCCAGAGAAGAAACAGCTTGTGAGAGTTGACCCCTGGAGGAAGCTTCAAGGATGGATTTGACGATACAGATATTGGCAAGACGTTGTTTATTGGGTCTTTGATGCTCGGGTGTCAACTTCTGAGTGCGGAGAGATGGGAATAGCATTGCACGTCATAATCTAGATCAAATAACCTATGGGCATTCAATGATAAGCAAATCAGATGAGTACACAGACCTTGCTTCACAAACAGATATTTTTTTCTATGTATGAAACACTATCTATGAACACCCTACTATTTTTTCTTTTCCTTTTTTATTGACCAATAAGAACGCCCAAAACTAAAATTAAATATCACATGTAAAGGTAGAAAAGTACCTTAACTTGGTAATCCTTCTCCATTAATTTTTTAACCATATCTGCTTTCATCTTCGGGTCTTTTAATTCCTGCAAACATGAGATAAAAATGTCAAAACAAGAAATTTACTTCTTCTTCTTCTTCTTCTTCTTCTTCTTTAAGATGAGAAACTCAACGTACAATGACATTAAGACCAACAATTGACTAAGGGAAAAAATATGTAATTAGGAAGGGAAGGGATATAGAAAACGAACTTGTAGCTTTTGCAGAAAAGCGCATTTCCTTGCCAACCCTTTTTCTCAAACTCAACTCCACATGCATGTGATAACTAGTTTATTAAAACAATGTTGCGCGCGCGCGCACCCCTATACATATGGACTATCTTAAGTTAGAGTGAAAAACAATATGCAAAGGTTCATTTTCCAGTCATTGAAACAGCTTGCTCGGCTGTAGATTTTACTTGCCAACCATCCCTGCATTAAGAATACCAGATACACATAAATTATTCTACCAACTGGTACAAAAGTGTTATAAACTCCATGGTCCATTTATTTTTTGTCCCACACCAAAGATTTTTCAGGTCTATTTTCCAGTAGCCCCAAAAAAGGTTGAAAATAGATTAAGGATGTAATGAGATCTGATCATGATGCTGCAAGCCATGAATACACTGCTCTACATTACATTTATTTTGGGGCTAGCAGGAAAATCGCAGCTTAATCTGCCAATGGTGTTACTGTCTCGTCTATATATTATATATAACATAAGTACATAACAACTTTAACAAGCCGATACTGTGATACATTTCTTAAACTTACAACCATAGGAAGCACGCCAGCAAAATATACACCTAAAATTTATTATTATTAATTTTAAAATAAGAAGGAAAAATCTACTTGTGAAGGATGTTATTATTGCTGATGATAAGATTTTTCCCTTTCACGTAGAAGGCTTGTGTTCATAAGGACACAGATTCAACTAGTAAGGACTGATCTCATACCCCACAAGGGTATACATTCAAGTCCCACCATCAATGTGATAATCTCTGTGGCAAAAAATCAAGAAGTGCCTCTGTCTTCTATAACTGATCTTCGAGCAGTGAGGCTTACATAAACCCTAGTGAACTCTCAAAAACCAGCTCACTAATATTAACTAAGATCCTCATATTCTTATTCAAAATCCTAATCTTTGTCTATAATTTCTACTAGTAAACAACAGCAAAACAGCACAGCATACTGCACCTTGCTCATAGCATACATTTTTTCCCTTCCTTGTTGTATGTAATTTTCCTTATGGTAGTCCATAATTTTGCAGACAAGCAGTTTCACATTTCTCTGAACTTAAACAACATTATCAAAAATTAAGGAGGCCCTTGTGACAGAGTTGAGAACAAACATAATATTCATTGTATAATTTACAAATGCCAGTAGAACCATTCTTATATGCTGAATCTAACCATTCCATCCAGATTCTTTCTTATAAGGCTAAATATGGCACTCAGTTTCCAAGAGAGAACAAAAATTATATGTGGGCATAAAGGTGAGACGACCACTATATAGCCCAAATATAAGATGCTTCTTTTTATTCCAAAAAAACAAAAGCTTCTTCTTTTTGTTGTTAGTGATAAAATTTATCGCCATATGAAATTAGACAAAGTCTCTCCACCTCATCTTAAGATTGAAGACTCACAGTCCACACCACATACAAAACTTTAAAAAGTCCCACAAGTAAAAAAATCAATAAATCCTTCAGAAAACTAAAATATTTTACTCATTGCCCATTTCAACTCAGCTCTTCTGTTGAAATTTTAGAATTCTCAGACAACATGGCAAAAGACCATCAAGAAAAAAAAAAATTTACCTCCACCAAGTCAAGCTTGAGCCTCCTAGCTCGTTGTAGTGCTTAAAGCCTCAAAACCATTGAATGTCCTGTGTGAATACATAAATTTGATGGGAAAGTCAGGGTTCAAAAAAAGCTTATACAGTTACAAGCTCCCAAATCTGCAGGTACGTATCTTTCCAATTCCATTGTTGATTGAAAATACTGCATAGCCGCACGTGTCTATATTCTGTGTTCCAGACATCTATCATTTATTATATGCACACGACTATAAATCTCCATAAATCCTTTGGTGGTCTTATCCTAACTTCCTAAGTATTCTCCATACCATATTCTTGTTAATCGTAGCCACAATTGCTTAATAGAAAGTAAGAGAAAACAACAACCTGTGATGAGTGAACACATCTTATTAAAATGGAAGTGTGACAGGTAGCTTTATGCTCTAGCAAATGTTTAAAACAACAACCCACAGTTTTAGCGGTTGACCCCTTTCAGTGTAAGTTGCACTAGCATTCCCCTTCTCCAAAACAGTAATTAACAGCCAACACAACCTCTTCCTAATAAGTTGATATTTGATTACCAATTGAATTATAATCATTCCTACCGAAGGTATTCATTATTAGACTGAAAAGAGCCTTCCATGCCCCAAACAACGGCGACCATATTACAAATAAACAATTTACATGCCATTATCAGGAGTAGTAATATTTTTACCATCATCAACAACAAGCCTGACAAACTGAGCAGTGATTTCTTCATTTATTCGAGGCTCATTGTTGTCCTTCTTCGTCTTCTCCTGAAAACCAATAATGCATCATCAACCCATATCACCAAGGATAACCATCTAAACCATACATGACTACCACAACATCATACCCTGTTATACCCCACCTGAAAATCCGTTGCACTACCACACTGGAAAAGGATCCCATAACCAATTCCGCCAAAACAAACAAATACATGACTCAACATTGAAAATTTAAGCTAAGATCCCATCACTCATCACATTTCACAAGAAACGTATCGCCCCGTTTTTTTGTCACCATAGAAGCAAAGAACGTAATTACAAACTTACACTCAACAGGGGCAGCCAAAAACGTTGCGTTGTAATAAACATCAGTGGACCTATTTGGAAAAATCCAGCTTGGCCTCTCTGAAACTCGGGTTGTCCGATGTGTGATGGGGAGTCTGAATGTAAAATCTTGAAAATTGGGCGGAAAATATTTTCAACTTAGATTGCCCGATTCGGCACCAATCAATGCGCCGTCACTTATGTGCAGTTGAGGAGGCTTGGAAACTAATAGACCATCACCATGTACAGTACTAATTCGTTTGGCAGAGTAAACTTAGTTTTTCCAACAGAGATTCAGACCAGCTCTAATAGTTACCTACAGCTTTAACAGCTACCCTTGCGCCAGAACTGAAAACTGCTCTCGCGCGCAGGGGGAGGGCTGAATGGAGTTTTGGGGCCAAGAACCAGAGATGCAGAGAGCAGAGTTCCGGAAAGTCGCTGGGGAGCTGGTCTTCATGCTGGCAGCTAAATGGGCCTGATTTGATTGCTGGGCCTATTCTTAACAGTTTAGCAAATTAAATAGTAGTAGTATTTTTTTTCTTTTTCATATAAAAATATATTTTTCCTTTTTAAAACATTTATAATAGTCCTCAAAGTTATGATCTAATCTCAAAAATTTATCAAATAAATTATTAATTTCTAAAAATAGTACACCAGATTAAAGTTAGAGAACAAAGATATTGATTGAAAAATGCCCCTAAATTCATGAATGATTAAAATTTTTTCAGCTGAATGGATTGTTTGATGCCGATATCATCATAATTTTTTTCTATTTTTCCTTTTTCTTGTGTTTTTTCATTTGTTTGTTTTTTATCCTATTGATAACCATGAGAGGGTAGTATTTGTGATATGCCACTTGAGAACGACTATTAAAATAGTTGTGTTTTTTTTCTTTTGTCATAAATTAAAATAAGTGTGTTTACATTTTACGAGAAAAGGTATCAAATTTTTAATTATTTGGATACAAACTATTGAACATCTAGTAAGTGCAGTCTTATATTTAGGATCGGAGAAGTACTTCTTATCTTTAATTTTGGGATTTGCATTTGGTTCTAAAATCACAATGTATTTTGATTGGCAGAAAAAAAAAATTATTTTATCTTCTAAATTTATAAAATTTTCACCAAAAAGTAGTTACAATAGATATGATGAAATATGATATTTTAAGAAAACCAACATAATTTGTTATCAATAACTAACTTGAGTAATTTTTTCAATATTATCAAATTAGTTATTTAGCTCTGATATTAATTACATGAGCTAATATATTCCTTTTAGTTAATTTTCAAGTCTGTTCTAATGCATTTTCTTTCAATATACTACTTCCAGTCCTTAATATAAGACCCTGTTTGATTTTTTGTTTGGTCCTAATTATAAGACCTCAATCCATTTTGTCTCTTATATTTATGTATTTTTTTCCAAAATAGTCATTCTAATAATGATAGTTCTAGCCAATACACTTAATTAGCAAGGATATTTTAGGAATGACAACACTTATTTATTACAAATAACTAACTTAACTTACTTTCTTAATCACCTCAAATAAGTCAACTGGGTCTTATAATTAAGACCGGAGGTAGTATTTGTTGTCTTGCATCGAACTTCCAAAATGAGCATGTGATAAGATTGATTCCAAGTGTGATAACTTCCTTTTGGAGAGAATGATTGAATTCATGAAGGATGAAGAACCAAGTCGACCCCTCCGTTCTACCCACACTCTCAAATATGTTGATTCGAATTCAATTTCCCGAATTATTCAAAAGCCATGTAATTCTTCATGAATCATCTCTTGATGCTGAATACTTTTAAAGATGATCTTTGGCCTAATCTAAGGAAATAAATTTACATGACATTTGGATCACCTACGCACTCATTTGGAATCACTTATATAAATATTTTTTATATAAATTAAGATAAAACTCTTCTCACATACTTATTTCATATTTTATAAATTATGATTTAAAAGTTATTTTTAAAGGTTCCAATCATTATTTCATACTAGTATTATATCCTGCACCAATTTTAGATGTTATTGTTGGATAATGATAAATTATTGAAAATTTAACTGCTCATCCGGTCCTTAATATAAGACCCAATTCTTGAGTTAGTCTTGATCCTAAATATAAGACTCATTTCTCATATTTATCAATTTTTTCTAAATTACCCCTATGAATACTCCCTCAACCATAATCAAGTAGAAAAGAGTGAGGGGATATTAAGCAAGATGATAATGGTGTTTCAGAAAAAATGTGTCAATTTTTTTATAATTAACTAACTTACTTAACTTCCTTAATCTAATCAAATTAGTTAAATAGATCTTATATTAAAGAGCGGAGGTATATTAATTAAATCAATGAACTGTGTAGTATTGCCAAGTTAGTTTAAATACATTCTCGAGCATCATCAACTAACATACTGAATACTGATGGCCAACTGTCCAGGAATTGCACGCAGGCAAAAAAACAACGTAAAACCGGGGGGGAAAAGAAAGAAAAAAGCACACCGACACCCACACAAAGATAAAGAGGAAAGCACTAAACTTGGAGCCCAAGAATTGGAATAGTATTTATTTATTTTTGTTTACAGTTTAGCAACAACTGAAGAATACGTGTCAAGCATCTATTGATGGAGACGCACCAAAATGGAATGTGGGACCCATGCTTACGACTTTCGCCTTGGGGAGTATCCACATGACCTCCAAAACATTCACTTGCTTCCCAAAACGACGCCGTCTTCACAGACGGTTCTATAAAACAAAATGAAGCAGAAGTGTGGAACGAATCTGCCAAAAGATGAATGGTCAAGATGCAGTGGCGCCGGTGCCGAGAGTGGCCGTGGTGGTGTTCCTCCTGAAGGGGAGATCAGTTCTCTTAGGTCTGAGGCGATCCTCCGTCGGCAACTCTACTTTCGCTCTGCCCGGCGGCCACCTGGAGTTTGGTCACTCTCTTTCCCCTTCTCTATCCCTCGATTATTCTAACTGTTTGTTTCTCAGGAAATTTAAATTTTCTTTCCTCCGTGTTCAGGCGAGAGCTTCGAGGAATGTGCAATTAGAGAAGTGAAAGAGGAGACGGGGCTGGAGATCACGAAAACGGAGTTCATAATGGTGACGAACAACGTGTTCCTGGATGAACCCAAGCCGAGTCACTACGTCACCATCTCGATGCGAGCCGAACTAGCCGATCCAGAGGAAGAGCCGAAGAACATGGAACCAAACAAGTGTGATGGATGGGATTGGTATGAATGGGGAAATCTTCCGAAACCCCTGTTTGGACCACTGGATAAATTGGTCAACGAAGGGTTCAATCCATTTTCTACCTGATTCTCTGTTATCACTGTTAACGGCGATGCTTCGTTTATCTTCGATTCCGACGAAGCTCTATCAGATAATCACTAGCTACTATATATGTGATTGAGACTTTGTGAGACAAATGAAGTTGAGGTTCTCCTTTATTAGTTGTGTTGAGAGGTCTGATAGTGCAATTAATCTTATTATTATGACAATTTATAATGTAATTTTATATTAGAAAAATAATTTTGAACTTTAAACTCACATTTAAAAAAAAAATCAAAGTTTGACCTAATTAATTCTGGACTTCTGGTCATGCCACTTTGGTAAAATTATGTGATCCCCAAATTGAAAAGTATGTCTTTGACCAAAAAACTGAAAAATATATCAGTCATGCTTCATATATAATTGATGGATTTCATTTAAGGTCCAAAATCTGAAATAAATCAAATAATAATCCAAAAAGTGGACTGGACAAAAAGGAACAAAAATGTCGCTGAGGTGCTAAAACCTTCTTTAATGGAAAATTTTTGGAATTGATTTGACTAAGATTTATCACAATTAATAACTAGATAAAATGATACATAAAAAGGGTAAAGGTGCAAATTAATTCTTGATTTTATTTCTGCACCTAATACCTCAATCTTTTTAGTGGTATTGTTTTACTAATATTTTTTTTTTTGAGATACAATTTTACCCATTATCTTATTGTTTTGGGTGCAATTTTATATTCTTCATCTAAAAATTGCACCCAAAAAAATGGGTAAAATTATATCGTTAAAAAAATTGGAATGTTAAGTGTACCTAGGACATAAAATAATGTGTAAATTTACACTTTGACTCTTGAAAAAAAAACCTCAAACAGCCTACATACCATGGTAAGCAACTGTGAAACCCAAGCTGGAGACAATCCAAGACCAGAGCGGCTCTAGGATTGAGGTTTACATGTACATGTATCGTGGACCAAACGGGATGCAACTTTCTTTGGTCCTGAAACTGAAACACCTACCAACACTCTTAGTTCTAGTAAAAAAATTAGTCCCCATGACATAATAAATCAAGATTTAAATTCTTATTAAGAGATATATCCACATTTAATGCCTGATAATATCTCGAATATGATTGCTTTTAATAAAAAGATACTTGTATCTACAAAAAGAGAAGAGGAAAAAAACTAAAACACCTAGCTTGCACCTGCGATTGAGACAAAAAATAAATTAAAAAAATTAGCTAAAAGAGCCTTTCAATGAAATTAACGGTCATGATTAAAGAAGGGTATGATAAGAGGATGGAAAAGAATAGGAGAGACTCTTGCCGAGCAGATCCCTCACCTTGCATCAATTACCCAGCTCCATAGAAGGCTCTAACATTTTTGAGAAGATTGTTAGCAAAAACAATGGCAAAGTTGTTTCCAAAATTACCTCATATCGAATATTTAAATTTGTAATTTATATTTTACATATTTAAATAAATAATACATTAGCAATTATATTAATGTAAAAAATCTGCTCCAATTAATTTTCCGCATTATATACCCAAAATTTGTTCATAAAAAATTAATTAGCTAGTAATCCACAAATTCCGGGCCGAAGCCAACGAACCAAATTCTTCGATCTTCATTCTTTGTAACAAAATCATTGTGTGGGATAATTCCCACCATTTTGTTCCTATCCATCAACTCCTTGTTGCGTCGATATATGCGATTTCATTCATTATACGCCTCGTTTTTTAAAGCGTAGCAACGTAACCACAGATATACATATAAAGTTTGATTTCGTTCATTGTACGCCTCGTATTTTCATTCATTTGGTTCTTCATCGTACTATCACCGTATAATATCTGCATGTATCATGAAAACCTGAAAGCCGTCAACGAACAACAAGACAAAAAATTTAACTCGAAAATATATTGGAAACCGTAGGGCTAGGTAACCACAGAGTGATTGAGGGATTATTATACGATACGTAACTCTCTCATTGATGAAGCTACCAGCCTCCAAGCACAGAATGTCTGATCTTTGGAATACACATGAAGGGGAACTGATAGGATAATCCTTTCTAGTTGTAAGGGACGAAGAGACACTTCACTAACGTTAGTCCTTTACTACTCCTCCGGTCCTTAATATAGGACCCAATTCTTGAGTTGGTTTTGGTCCTAAATATAAGACCCATTTATCATATTTATCAATTTTCTCTAAATTACCCCTATGAATACCCCCTCAATCATAGTCAAGTAAAAGAGGAAGATGAGGTATTAAGAAAGATGATTATGGTGTTTTAAGAAAAATGTATCATTTTTCTTATAATTAACTAACTTACCTAACTTCTTTAATCTAATCAAATTAGTTAAATGGGTCTTATATTAAGGACCGGAGAAGTATATATATATTCGGAATCAGTTTTAGTGCTCGTCGTTTTGATGAGTGCTCTCAGCTCGTCAAACATGGATCATCTATATTTGATGAGAAATGAGAAATGGATAATCCGAATTTGATGAGCTTAAGATATTCATCAAAACGATGAGCATCTATATATTCTTGGGGATCACAAATTTCAAATGCCGAGTAGTCACGAGGTAATAAGTTTATAACCAATACCCAAGTTCTTTATTGCTTTGCATATCCCAAATAATTCAATTAAAAGTATAGTTTTCAAGCTGTGAAATAAAGTGAATGAGAAAAAGTCATTACTCGTATCTTGCTTGTCTCTTGTTCTTTCTTCTACTCTCTAACTTCCTTGTTTTCTCTCATTTTATAACATCAATCAATCAGCATATGATACATTAAAACAGATAATTATGATCTTAGTTAATATGATTGGGTTTGAAAATCTACAAAATACATTTAATTCAGATGCAAAGTTCAAGAATATGAAATCTTAACAATCATAAATGGAGGAGGAGCCAAAAAGAGTCAAACTAAGAGGTTTGCTTGGTTCAATTTTTGATCATTTTTTAAAATTTAACTACTCGCTAATTAAATTATTGAACTTCGAACTAATTCCCGGCTAGTTTCAATTCATTCTCGAAAAATCATCATCTTTTTCATACAACAAAAAATCGAAAATAATCAATTAACATACGGATGCAGAAACGGTCCAAATCCCGCAGGTCAAATATGAAATGTGGGACCCCTGCGCTCCACTTTGACCGTGCGGACCCCGCGGGTCCCAAACTATAAGTGGGACCCAATTTCGTACTTCCCAGCTCTTAGTTTTGACCATTCGCAGGACAGGAAAGACGAGAATTCAAAGTACTATTAACCAACCAAACAATGGTTTTCGAATTTCAAAACGATGCCGCGCCGCAAATGAACAGCCAAATCGTTGCTTCTATACAAAGCAGCTGAAAATTGAAACAGCTAGGTGGCACAACACAGACACTGCCACACAGTGACGCTCGAACGCTTCAACCATTCAACAAAATGGAGAAACCTGAGGCGGCGCCGGTGCCGAGGGTGGGCGTGGCGGTCTTCCTCACCAAGGGCGGATCCGTACTCTTAGGACGGCGGCTCTCCACCGTCGGCAACTCCACTTTCGCTCTGCCCGGCGGTCATCTCGAATTCGGTCATTCTCTTTTCCCTCCTTTTCTCTTGGCTCTCTATTGATTATTTCATCTGCTTGTTTCTCGGGAAATTTGAATTTTCCTTTTCCTGGGTTTGGATTCAGGCGAGAGCTTCGAGGAATGTGCAATCAGAGAAGTGAAAGAGGAAACGGGGATGAATATAGCGAAAACGGAGTTCCTAACGGCGATGAACTACGTGCCAGCGGAGGAACCAAAGCTGCGCCACTACGTAATCATCTTCATGAGAGCTGATCCGGCCAGCGCAGACGAAGAGCCGAAGAACATGGAACCAAACAAGTGTGAGGGATGGAACTGGTACGAATGGGAGAATCTACCGAAACCCCTGTTTGGGCCATTGCAGACATTGGTCGATCAAGGTTTCAAGCCCTTTCCTCCTTGATTCTCTGTTATCATCGTTAATGGCAATGATCGGTTTATCTTCGATTTTCTATTTCCCAGCTGCAAATCAAATCAGTGTGGTTCATGGAGATGATTAGATAAATGTGATTGTAAGAAGGATTTTACATATCTTGATTTCCTTTGGTTCCATGCTGGGCTTCCAGTTATTTCCGTGCAAGATCCCGTTTGGGGCTCGGAAAGTGGTCTTTTTGGTTAACAAAAGTGGTTCGGTTTACCAAAAACACACCAAAAGATCTGCGAGTCTAGTGGGTATGGCCCGATCAACGTTGATAAGCCTATCAGTGCATTCACATGCGTAGAAAGAAAATAAGGAAAGAAGGAAACTAAAAAAAAATGATTATAGTATTTTAAGAAAAATATGTCATATTTTTTATAATTAACTAATTTATTTAATTTTTGTAATCTAATCACATTAGTTAAATATGTTTTACATTAAAGACTGGATGAGTATTTATTATGTTAAATTATCCAATCAGTCATAAAAATTAATTGGCTTTACTGTAGTTGTTTTATCAGATTCTTAGAGTGTTTTTTTCTCCCCAAAATTATAGGTATTAATCCTTATAATCTGTTAATTGGAGCTTATTTGAATGGTGACTAAAGGAATGACATGCAAGTTGTCACTTGCCACAAAATGCAAAATAAAAAGAAACTTTTTAACAATAAAATATTGAATGAGATTTATTTATTATCAACATAAATTATTATACTCGTAATCGAATATTTGCATTCGCATATAATTTATAATTTAATTGATTTTGATTTTATTTAAATTTACATGAAAAAATCAATTCAAGTGTATGCTAACTGATCGAGTCACGCCATTAGCTATTAATGTACTTCTCTTACAAATTAACAAAATTATGAATACAGAAATCACTATCTATAACTATGAAAAGTATAAGAACCAACTTAAAAAGGCTAAAAGCTACACGGACTTGACTGAAAATGAGATAAAACTATAAGGAATTGCATATTACTTTTTTTTCTAAACGTAAGACTCATTTTGCGGTGTAATAAAATAATTCTTATATTTATAAACAGAAGAGTAATTTTTCCTAATGACTTATTATTCTCGTTTTAGCATCACATTCTTAAAATCAATTGAAAATAAAATATACAGCACATGTAAGAACGATGAAAATAAGTGCCAAGCCATTGAGATACTTACGGTATACTCCTCCCATGCTTTTTATAAGATCCATAAATTTGAATTGATTTGATCATATTTATAAGTTCTTATTTGGGGATGTGTGAACATTAAATCTAATTTTATCAATTTTGCCTCTAATTAATTTTTTTATTCTCTTTCCTTATCCTTTTCTCATGATTCATTCTCTTTTATTCTTTATCTCATTATTAGTATTGCTCTATCTTATTTGTTTCCTTGTTAAATAAGGACATACTTGAAGGGGGGAAAAAAAGATTCAACTTTTACCTATTTATTGCTTTGAACTAATTTTAATTATTTTTCTAAGTTACATAATTTAATTAAAAGGATCTTATAAAATAGACCGGAAGGAGTATTATCATTATAAAACTAAATATTGTTGTGACTTATATTATATTTCTGTACACATATAATTCTCATTTTTAATTATAAAAACGCTGAAAAGTGGTAGCTTATTGTCCTTTTCCAGTGCATATGTCACATGATCGTTAACAGTAGGAAGCAGTTTAATGGCTTTGTAGTTTCATGGGACAAGATAATGCAATTTCTGGAAAACAGAAAGACAATGAGACAAACATAAAATATATCACTCTGATGTTTATTATTTGTGACTTGTAGGAAGGAATTTTAGTCTTTTTTATTTGTTATCTGTATTCTTTTAATGCTTCAATTCTAATTCTACCCCTGTTAATTATAATAAATGTGAAAAGAGCAGGAAATATGTGAGAGAAAATACATATTAACATTCAATGCTCTCCGTAATAAAATAAAAGATTTCATCTATTTAATAATCTTGTTGATGTATAAGAAAATCTGCAAATGACAATAATAAGTACCACGGTGGTATAGTGAAACTCGCCCTCCAATTACAGTATTACACACACATCATGATGATGATATCTTAACCGTGGCTTTTGGAAATTGGAGCTGTTATTTGGTAACCATCCCTAAATTTTTAAATACGGGGTGTGCTCCATTAAAAATGTCTGGGACCCTTTTTACCATATAGGGCTTCAAGTTAGCAGATAGCAGTAGATGGTTTGTTGACTGGCCTTGAGGATTTCGTCATAGTTCTCATTATTTTATTTTCCTCTCACAACTCTTTCATCAACTAATCATCCCTTCAAAATTTTAATTGTAAGTTGGGTTGTATTTAGGGGGGGAAAAAAACAAAGAAAAAATATATACATAGACTCTCTACCCTTTTGTAGGAGTAACCGCGAGTAGGAAATTTAATTTGAGTCCATCCTTAATCAATTTGAATATATTCCCAATCCCTCTCTTTAGTACCTCAGCAATATCTATATTTTAGTTAAAAGTACAATCTGGAAAAAATATTAATAGCTTATAATATAAATATGGTAGTTAAAAAAAAACCAACACATATTTATTATTAATAACTAGTTTAACTATTTTTTTTAATATTCACAAATTAGTTATCTAACTCTTTTATTAAGAATCGAATATAGTAGTAAAGTTGATAATGAGGAAGTAGGAGGTGAAATATATTTAGTGGATGATCCAAGTCTTTCTTTCAAAACTAGTTTTGGTGTTTATTATTTTGATGAGCATCATAGACTCATTAGATCTGGATTGTCTATATCTCATTTGGATGGTCTGAATTTGATTTCCTTTTTATTTTTAATTTTTTAAAATAATTATTTTAAATAGATAGAATCTAAAATAGAGATAATCTCTTAACTATAATTCTTTCAAAAAATAGTTTTTTATTTAAAAATAATTAATTAAATTAGATATAGATGGTTCAGATCTAATGAGTTTAGAGTGCTTATCAACGTGGTGAGCATCGAAACTAATTCCCTTTCAAAACTAGTTCATTTAGTAGAATATTCCCTAGAATGAGTTCACTTAGCAAATCTTTTCTGAACGAAACAGAGACCAGAACTACAAGAGACAAAATATTGTAACCCAAAGAAAGAAATAGCATTACGTGCATATATATGTGTGTGTATATGCTGTTCTGGTCTTGATGTAAAATCTAATTAACTAATTTGAATAGATTAAAGATGTTAGTTAAAATAGTTAATATGATATGCTTTTTCTAAAACACCCTAAATATCTTCTTTAATTCTCTCATTCCATCTCCTACTTAATTATTATTAGGAGAATATTAATCAGGTTAGTTTGAAAAAAAAATGATAAACATCTATATCAACTCTCCTATTAAATCCTATACTAAGGACATGAGAAGTATATATATTTATATATATATGTATGTGTGTGTGTAAAGCTTGCTTATATAGACGACTACGTATATAAATTTTGCAGCACATATTTAACTAGCTACAAGGCAATAGGTGTGCGGACATCAATAGAAAGAGATGTTTGTAAGGAAATGTGAATGAGGAGAGAGTAGGGAGAAGAAGAGGTTTTGATAGTAGGGTAGTTGTGCCTTTACCTGCTTTCCTTCCCAATTCTCATTCCCCCTGATTGTGATATTTCACCTAAACCCCTCCCTCTCTTCTCTCTTCCTCTCCTAATTTCCTCTCCAGTTTCGTTCATTTTGAGTCGCTCATTTTGAGTCAGAAATATATGACTATGAGTGATGAGGACTCTCTCTCTCTCTTGCTATAATATATCATATGATCAATATTGTCAAAAAGAAAAGGAAAAAAAATCAACATCTGCAGACTTTTATGATACCCATAAAATAAATAATCAAGATATAATTAATTAAATCAAGAAATTTAAAAAATTCCAACTAAGTCCTAAATTTATAAGTAAAAATAAAATAGTTGGGATTTGAGCATGCATGCATTTTAGCCATAAAATTGAAAAATTTTTTATTATAGTTAAAAAACGTTTATTGAAAAAAAAAATTCTTTTTAAAAAAATCTGGTATCCGGGTGATCTGGGAGAGCCCACAATCAACTGTTGGAAACAGCAACATGTCTTGAGTCTTGACAACATACAGTAGACTAATGTCTTTCTTCCTGTGGGCAATGAGTCTATGACCCCACCGCCATAACCTCACTGTCTTCTTCTTCATCCCCACAGGTAGGTGTGGCTGCTCACCTTCCTTCTTTATTTCCCATTCTCCAAACTGCCCACTAATCCTCATCCACTCTCTATATCTATATCTCACTCTCACACACCAAGCTCTCGTACCAGTGCATGCAATAAATTAATCTCCCCCGCCATTTCCCTTATCTGTTCACCTCCATGGATCTCCGTTCATAGCCAACCATAAAGCTTGTCCTGATTCTCTGCCTTAATTTCTCTCTCTCTCTCTCTCTCTTCACCATGAAGACGATAATGGCCAAGTCTCCCCATGACTCTTCCTTCTCCTTCTCCAGAAGGTACTTCCATTTCAACAAGAAACTCGTCCAAGAAGACGACGACGACATCGAAGAACAAGTCCTTAACATCACGCCGTCGTCCCACCATTTCTGCCACGAACAGCAATTTCCCAGGAAGAATAATAGTAACTCTGTTTCGAGATTCAAATCCGCCCTCACCCTCTTCACCAAAAGCCGTTCCCCTTCCTCCTCTCTTGTCGGAACACGAGTGGTCGGAACCCTCTTCGGAAACCGTCGAGGGCGCGCCCACATAGCCTTCCAGGAGGACCCCAAGTCGCACCCACCGTTCCTGATCGAGCTACCCACACCCACCAGCGTGCTGGTGAGAGAGATGGCTTCTGGGTTAGTGAGAATCGCGTTGGAATGCGAGAAGAAGAAGAACAACAAGGGTAAGAAGAGTAATGGTGGTGGTAGTGGCAGTGGGAAGCTGGTCGAGGAGCCAGTTTGGAGAAGTTACTGTAATGGAAGGAAATGTGGGTATGCGAGTCGGGTGGAATGCGGGGAAGAGGAGTGGAAGATACTGAAGGCGGTGGAGCCGATATCGATGGGCGCCGGCGTGATTCCGGCGACATGCGGTGGGTGTGTGGAGGGTGAGGGGGAGGTGATGTACATGAGGGCGAGGTTCGAGAGGGTGGTTGGGTCTAAAGACTCAGAAGCTTACTATCTGATGAACCCAGATGGAAGTGGCGGCCCTGAGTTAAGCATTTATCTTCTCAGAGTTTAGCTATAGCTTGCTTGCTTTCCATGGATTCGTCTGATCTGATGAATCTGAGATTAATGTTTGTTGGCTTTGATATGGTGATTTTGAAGCTGGCTTTGGCACTGCCAAAGTTTATTTGGGTGATTTATTAGCGCACTATTATTAGATTGCAGGGTTTTTAAATTAGCTACTCATAATCAACTTGGTTGAATATGTTTATGATTTTGAATGCAGAATTTTTAATAGAAAAGAAAAATATTCTGGGGTTAAGTTTTATCCCAAGTTAAACTACTTCATGAATATTTACATGCACACACTATATAAAACCTTCTGCTCCAACATCAATTGTATTCTAATAATGCTTATGTTTATGAAAATATTAATATTATATGTATCAATTTAAATGAAGAAAATATTTGGTGGAGGTTCTGGGAAAAGGTAACGTAACATATTAAATGCAGTATAACTTTCTCTGTATGAACAAGAGAGGATCATTTGTTTTATTAAATGTCATATCTTGTCCTCAGAGATCTCTGATCGATATTCTAGCCTTTGTATACGAATTAAAGGATTATTTTAATGAAGGTATGGCTTCTATATAAAAACTAAAGAACTGAAGGAGTAGACGTAACCATAAAAGACCTGGAAATCTGAATCAATTGGGGGGTTAGTGATAGTGTTAGCTAGATATTACGACTAATATTGGAGTCTTCTAACTTTCTTGGTACCGACCAAGCTAAGAGATGCAGTGGGTGAACAACATCTGATTCTTTTTTAATCTTTCAAGTAACTACATATATATTGTCTTTATATATGTACCTTAAACCAGTCATAATGCACCAATATATCCTCATGTATGTTTCGATGCTTTTCTTGCTTAAGGTTTTGCGCAAGGATTAAGGGATCGTTATCATCAATTATTATATAAAGTACTAACCCTAGTCGTTAATATAAGAACTAATTGAAAGATGAGATTTGACCATAAATATAAAATTTCAGTTTACTTTATTTTTATATTTATAATTTTTTTCCAAACTAATTTAACTAACTTATAAATTGATATATGATCTAACGTTATAAAGGAGTATTTTAGAGAGATTATGTCACATTTGTTATAATTAAATGATTGATTTGATTTTCTTAATCTATTCAAATTAATCTACTAACTCTTATATTAAGAACTGAAAGTAGTATTATTAAACTAAAATACCCTTATTAAAAGATACATTGTAAAATATATTTTGCCTTATGCCAATTAAAGGTGATTGTCCATCCATCTTGGCATAACTTTTAAAGGACAAGAAACTGAAGAGTCATGACGAAGCCTTTTTGGACGTGCTACACAGAGTGCCAAGGGAGAAAGTTAGATGGAAAAAACAAGAGCGCTTTGTGATTTCACAAATGATCAAGTCAGGGGGGGAAAAAAGGCATAAGGTATTAAATTATATAAGATGCAGAAGAATTTGTTCTTTTAAGAACAAACTCTTATGTGTGTGTGTATATATATATATATATATATTTTAAAACAGTGTTGTTATACATTTATGGTTCTCAACTAATAATTTTTATTACTTTTAAAATTAGAGATATAATCGTTATATTTTATTTCAAAATATATTTTTCTTACATCATGAGCAATAAAATGAATTTGAATAAGTTGAGTAACATGTAGTATACTTTGCATTGGATATAATTTTGCCTTAGAATGTATATACAAGTGAAGATAAAATACTAGTCCTTTGCCTCCAATTTCACAAACTTCAGAAGCACAAATTCAGAAGGCATGGAAATGGAATCATCCCAAACAAACGCAAACTTAAAAAAAAACACAGTGGAGCCTATCAATGTGTTTGGATGTTGGGCCCCTGGCCCATTATGTTAGAAGGAAAGAAGGAAAATAAATAACTGGGCCGTTGACCCACTATCCAATTTTGGGTTTTCTTCGTAAATGCACACCGTCCAATTGGGCTACTATCCGATTGTGTGTTACTTTTATTTTGGGAAAAATAATTTTTAAAAAAGTTGAAAATCTGTAAATGTCAAATAAAGAATATCAATAAAAATTTATTGTTATTTGCAAATTTAGTATTGTCAATACTAAATAAAATATTGTTATCAAACTTGATTTGAGATTTAGTAATTTCCAACTTTTTTTTTTTTGGTCATTCTCCCTTTATTTTGTGTTTGTCCATGTCATGCTCAGAATGGTCTATAAATAATATTTTAATCTTAATTTACAAAATATGAGGTAAGTATATAAGAAGATTTTTATTTTGAATGACATGAAATGTGCTTATAAGTGCTTTTCAACACGATTCCGAACAATTCCTTAGTGATGGAACATAAAATAAAGGAAAAATTGCAAAATAAGATTGTGAAAATTGCAAAATCCATTGAATAACAAATAATAACATGTCATAAATGCGTGTTTGTCTTTTTAAATTATCATATTCAATCATATATATTGGATGGTTAGAATTATTCTTGGAGGAAACCTTTACAATTAATAACAATATTTCAGAAAAAGATGAGAAACAAAATGGATTGAGTTCTTATATTTAGGATCAAATTCAAACCCGGATCTAAAACTGGAGGTAGTGGAAAAAAGAACATATAAAGACCACTGAAATATAAGAATTTCATAATACCTCTCAAAATGACTTAATTTTTACAAAAATTTTAGGAACTAATATGAAATTGAGTTTTTTTTTTGAAAAAAATGATATCATTAATATTAGCGAAGCTGGTTGTACTTGTCTTACCTATAGAACTGGTAATGCGGGCTGGCAGAGCGGATACGAGCCAGCCTGCAGCGGATCGGGCTAAAAGCGGTGTGGGTTGAAGTAGCTCGCACCTATGCTAGCCCGCGCCTGCCAAGGCCGGTTGGCGGGCGAGTTATTTAAAAAATAAAAAAATAAAAAGCTGCTATTTTAGGCAAGTTGTTCATACAGAATGTCCATAAAGACAAGCTGCTCTTCACCTCAATACACCAGAGATCAAATCAGTCTCGCATTTGGCGATGCTTATGACAATCAGGTTAGTAGATCCCTGAATCATCGGAATCACTCATAGATAGATTCTTTCATTTCTGCTCAATCAATCTAGTGTTGGTGGTGATAAATCAGGTTTATGCCCCACGGATGGATGATCCATCTTCTGGGGCATTCGAAAGGTGCTCTACGGATACTTCAACACATTCATCATTACAAATTACAACATTACAAACAAATATTACAAGAATTAAAACATTTAGAAGTGTTAAAAGGCACCAACCACAACCCGCAATAATTCAACATCAATGCCAGTGTCCAAAAATCAAATATTACAAACAAAATGTAATATTCTAATTTTCATATCTCTAATATTTAAACAAATTTTTATAGAATAGGTAGAGGTTAAATATATATGTAATTACAATAATTATGATTTTATGTGTGTGTGTGTGAGTGAGAAAATGGATAAA